GGACATAGACTACTTTTTACCTCAATCAGTAATTATTTTTCAAGCCATGCGAATTAAGTCACAGATATAAGCTTGTAATTCTATAAATGAACTTGCGTGTCTGTTATTTATTTAATCTCTCGTAACAAGTGCTACCCGTTGGTACCTAAATGTCAAAACTTTCGCGCATCGATTCACCTGCTCATTTGTAACAATGTGCATTTACCATTTCAATATCTAAATTTATGAAAAGCGAGTATAATTAACGTAAAATATATACATTGACAGGTCAAATTGCTCGCAGAATAAAGTTAAATGTTTTTTTTATCAAAGGAATAATTATTTATTTTTTTATTTTATTTTTATTTTTGTGGTACAACAACAGATTACAAACAAAACTTTTAACAATAGAATACAACAATAGCATTATAAGTTTGCAAACCAATTATAGTTGTACTCAACATTCACAGAGATGAAACAGAATAGGTTGATTTTTACTACAAAAAGAATTAATGATAAAAACTAGATACAAAACAAGAATCAAAAACAAAACTACCAAACTATGCTTATAAACTATTAGGTTATCAATGTATGTAATGCTTCGATACAATGAAAATTTCTGATAGAATATGTCAATATCCGATTTACAGTCAATGTCATTGTACAATTTGCACATTCTGTATATTGGATTATTATATGACACATTATTGTTTGCGAACGGTATAGAAAAGAGTTTAGTTGTACGAGAAGAGTGTTCGACGAATGTATTAAATTATGACGAAGGTATTAAATAAGAAATAATGAAAAAGTTTTTTTTTTAATCTAGATAAACTGACGGCTAGCTGACAGCCCATGTAAGGAAAAGTAATTAATTAATGTTCCTTTCCACTCAGAGTTTGCTAGAAGAGAACTCTTACAGCGTTAAATTCACCTGTTGTACATCTGTATTAAAATAAATTATAACAATGTAGTTTTTGTGTACAATAAAGTATAAATAAATAATATAATAATAAATATAAATAATATAATAAGTTTTTTCTATGTGTTCTCCTTTAACAAAAGGTTGTCTGTAAGAGATTGCCCTAGCGATAAGACTGCCTTTTGTACCTTTATGTGTATATTTCAATCTGTATCTATGTTAATGTATTTCACTTCAATTATTCACTTGTCATTGTATATTTTTTTAATGGTGCAATAAAGAGTAAAATAAATAAATAAAGTAATAATGGTTATTGCCCATTTATAGAAATTGAATAATATTTAGGACATCATAAAAATTGTGCATGAAATCTAATAATCAAGGTATAAAAACTCTCGATACGATGACCTATCAAAAGGAGGAGTTTCTTAATTCGTCTATATATATTTTTACAGTCTCGTTTTGCGATTACGTCAAATTCTAATTAGATTTTGATAATTCAGTCGATAGGGTATAAACTCTCGTATTAATCCTATATTCATTTAGCGGCCATTGTAACCGCCCTTTCTCTTTAAAAAGTAAAAAAAAAAACTTAACAAATTATAACTGGTAGAACTTAGTGGTAGACATACAATTTCGCTTTCTAAATTCATATATTTTTTTATCTAATATATCTATGGTACATCTCGTTGCACAAAAAGATATTTTCTCGTAATTGAAATAGTTGTAATTATATTATCAGATCAAAATATACTTGTGTCGTATTTCTATTAATATTAAATTTTCACTGAGTGCTGGCGCTTTTAATTATTTATCATCCATATCGTTTATTTTTTCTAATGATTTATAGGTACTATTTTTAATCTATGGAATTTATATGCCTGTTTTGCGTAATCAATATGTTAATTAAGAGTCGGCACTGTCCTTATACTGACGTAACTGGAAAATGTATCTATGCAACCACCGAAAAGTGTCAATACAATAAAATAATAGAATTCATAGTGTTTTACAAGTGCTTCTAATATATCATAGAGATATAAACACTTGTGAAACAATAATAACAAAATATAAATATGGATAGGTAGCATAAAAGACCTTGCTAGGTAGTTTATGACACCAAATTTTTAAATTTAATTATTTAGTTGCATAGATTTCATACAAACATTTTTATTTGAAGTGACACGGACCTGATATTTTGCTATTTATTTCTTGACGGTTTTATGAAAAAATATATATATACGATAGCAAAGGAATAGGAAAGCCCGCGTTCTCCCAAAAAAATCTGTCTGTGTCAAAAACTGCGATGTAGCAGAGGGCTTATCAAAATTAATAATGAGAAAACATTAAGTATTTCAACATGAAACCCACGCGACGTAAACTCCGTATAAATTACAGTTATAAGGAAGCCGGTAACATCTGCTAATATTTTGCAATTCCTTGGTCCAACTCGGATGTCGTGATAGGCCAAGCGATGTGTGCGAGGAGGCAAAGTTAGATTCCGTATGCATTACAATCGGAATACTGATTATTTAATATTTTTTTATACTACTGCCCAAAAAACTACTGTTAATGTTTTCAGGGTCCATTTATATATGGAAGTTTTTTTTTTATTCTATGACCTTTAATTAAATACCTGAACAGATTTAGATGTATAGGGTATTGTTAAATTCTTTATATCATCCCGAGTAATATTAGTTATATTTTTTTCTAAATCTAAATGCTGGCAGTATAGCGTCATTTTCAAGTCAATAAAAAAAAGTAAAAAATAGCAGTGCAGTTGTGTTTTCTTTCTTCGTTACAATAGCTTATTTATATTGCATCAATTGGCTGGTCTTCTATACTTTGAAAGCATCAAAAAAAAAAATTAATAAATAGGAATGAAATAAGAGAAAAAATAGTAATCATTATTAAAACCGTTACTCTCGATGTGTAATTATAACTGCTGCTATCAGATTATAGGCCAAATAGAAACATTGTTGTCCAAAAAAAAGCATATGCATCGAACTAAGCTGTATCGGTTAGATCCTTTGTCTATCCGACTTTAGAGGCGATCAAGAAAAAAAAAAATGTTACAAATGAAATGAGTAAGTGCACAAGCGGCCTAAAGTTAGAAAACGGAATATTTTACTCTATGATTGTATCGTGAATAATTTGCTTTGTGAAAATAGGAGACTAGTGACATTCAGAGGATGGGAAAATGTTTTAGCATTTATCTAATACTTTTGTAATCGTGTACGCAATATGTATTTCTACATATGTGTTTGGAAACTAATTCTTCTACCGTTTTTATGCGACTACATACATTTATTACATAGATTATATAGTTATGTTTTATAATAAATAATGTGGTCATAAACGATTAACTGTTTTTTTTTAGAATTTCCTTACATACCGTCTTTAATAAGACCAAGTATAAATGTTTTTTTTTTTTATTTTTTTATTAAGCCCTAAAGCTTGTAAGTAATTGTTTATATTTATAATAAGTTTACTATTGTAATCTTTTGGGGGAAACAATAAAGAGTATCTATCTATCTTGATTAAGGCTTTAATTTTTTTTAATTATCTAAATTAGTTTATTTTCATATTGGTTTTAGAATTTTATCGTAACAAATCAATGGTAGGTCCAGTGAAGAAGTAAAAACCTATCGGTTGTAAAAAGAATCATCAAAATAATTTAAGATTTTGTTTCACAAAAAAACCGACCTCAATCGTGACAGAAGCAGTTATTTTGATTTTAAAAAGTAAATAATCAAACCGATTTCGATAAAGTTTCTATGGGAATATATATGCAAGTTTATTTTTTCAGATAAAAAAAATTTCGAAATCGATTTATAGATGACAGAATTATGAGGCAACAAAACAAAATTTTTGCCGTGCGGTCCCGGCATAGAATAGGCCACCCCTTTCTTTCCCGTGAGTGTTGTAAGAGTCAACTAAGGGAGGGAGAGGGATGGGCAGCGACGTCCCTCTCAAAATAGCTAATAAATAGCCTAACTGCGGTTGCCAACCCGTGTGCCAAGCGTGGCAACTACGGGCAAAATTCTCCTTATGGAGGAAGCTTATGTTCAGCAGTGGACAGTTAACGGCTGAAATAAAAATAATAAAAAATAAAAAAAACAAAATTGACACTATTTTGAAGTCATTTGAAATCGCTAAATTGCGATGGAACCCTAAAAATGGCGTGCTAATTGCCACATTAAATTGATTGAACTAGAACTAAAATATAAATAACTTTTTTCAATTAATGTCATACCTAGTTTGTACAGATAATTTGTAACCTTGAAATCCTTATGGCTTAATACAAAACCTTTATGTAACTCGATCTCGTTAAATTGTAGTTAACTTGTTGGATTAATTAACTAGTTAAATAAATTCATAAAGAGAAAGTTGATTTGACCTATCGACCGTTAATTTATCTTTCAATTGATATTAAACGCTTAATTTTGTTGAAAGAATTTGGCAATCAGGAAAATTTTGATTGTGCATGGTGAATATTTTTTTTTAATAGGTGATAATGGAATGGTAACCCCATAGATGTAGTATAACGTACGATAACCCCGCCTGCACTATCGGTATACGCTGGCGAGGTACCAGTGAGGGATGATGAGGACGAAAGTAGGTCAGTTGACACATCGTGTTAAATACTACAAGAATTGACCAAGATGGTTTTCAGGGGGAACCGCATGAAGGTCGACCTGATAGCATATAATGCTAGCAATGGAGCTGTTAGATCTCCGTTTCCTTCCCTCCAAGCATTAAAATTATTAGCGGCACGTAAAGTGACAGTATAAGTAATAATTCTATGTAAAAATAAGAATAAGCTTATAAACAAGTCTATTTGATTAAAGATGATTTAAATTTGAAATATATTTAAACACCAAGATGCGACGTGTTACTATGATGGTTCAAAATTTATTGTCGTTTCCCAACTCATATTGCTTTGGTGAAAATGTTCAATTGCACTGGCAGGACGCTTTTCACAAAGGCACTCTTTTCAAAGGATGCTAATGATTTTATCTTTTAATATTTAGTAATAAAATGTAAAAAAAAAAAAATTAAATTGTTTTTTGGTATTTTGAAAATATGTAAAGAGAAAACTTACCAGATAATTAGAGATACAGCGTCGGCACCTTCTTTTGGGTTCCCAGAGACAATTTATTTCCCATCTTCTTGTAGCCCTCATTTTTTACTCTAAGTTTTGGTTTCTCCGTTTCCACAGGGCAACCTTTCATTTCCCAAACGAGATTAGTCAACGATTTAGGCCTGCTCAGTTTCCTTGATCTCTTTTCTGGTAATTTCGGGCCGTTACCCGAATCTCCCGACGTTCTCCCACCAGAGTGGCTTGAATCTAACGTCCCATCTAACTCCATAGCCTGATGTATATTAGAAAGACTCTTGTACCTTATGTTAAAGATAGGAGAATCACCTTTCGTAATTGGACGTACCGGACTAGTTACTGGACTAGGATTCTCTTTTGTAGGAGAATTACTTTTTTGACGGAACACCATTCTAGTTTTATTGCTGTTCACGTTATTTTTTATAAACAACTTGGGCAAATTGTTCGGGGCTGGAGCGATAGAACATTTTTCTTTATACACTGTAATAGGAGTTTCCTTAGGCGTTATGGCAGTTTTGCGTGTTCTCTTCTCTGCTTTTTGGGCATTCAAAGGCTTTTTAGTCGGTATAGTCTCTATAGGGGGCGGTTCTGGTTTTATTTCAGTTATTAAAGGCATGTGGATAGGCGTCGGCGCAGGAGATGATGGTGCCGATTCGTGTCTTGTGGGTTCGTTAGAATATGGCGATTTTAAATTCTTAGGTAGAGGCGCGAACCCTCTCACATAGTCATAGATTTGATCAATTTCATCGTATTCATCGGGAATACTGTTTTCATCTCTGTGACTACTGTAAATATGACTGTGGCGGGATATATGCTTGTGTTGATTGGCAGTGTCCGAAGAAGCGCTTCTTCTTAAGAAGTATCCAGTTTTTAACAAAGGTGGGGCATGTAATGGCGCGTTTAGTAGTCTCTTTGGATCACCCAATTTACCATCTAGTACATGTATTCTATCAACCACATCAACGAGCAACCGATTGCACTTCTCAACTAATCTTGAGAACTCCATAAAGTTTTTGATCTGCTCTTCATTTTTACATTTTTGCATTTTGAGAGGAGCCGCTAATGGTAAGGCTACTAAAGCGTTACCTTCTTTTGGTAGAGGCAGTGCAAATACGTGGTCTTCTTCAAACATCGACAACAACCTCAATTCAGGAACAAAATGGCTTGCACTCTTTAGTCCTCTCGGTGGAGTGCCATGCACAAGTCTTACAGTGATCGGCAATCGTTTCGTTAGCAACGTTTTAGCTGTGTGAACTCCACTTATGTTCTCTTCTTTGGCTATAGCAGAGAACTTTCCCCTCTGATCCAAACTTAACAATACCGTATCACCTTTAGAGTCAGTGCATTTCAAATATTTATTTTTACCTAAATACGCCTCTCCTTTAGGCATAATGATTTCTCCAGCGGGCATATTTCTTGCTCCATCGGCTGTTATATTACCTTCTAGATCTGTTTTAGCGCAAATCACCCTAACTGGTTCTCTCACTAAACATCCATCTTCAAGTTTTCTTCTTGATAGTTCTGCTACTGATTCTATACATCGTACTGCTCTACCTTCTTCGCTGAGCAGCTCAAAATATCCTTTATAAGTATCAGGGATAGCTATTCTAGGTCCTACACTGACCATTCGTCTTCCCTCTTTTAATTTTATGGCCTGAGCAATGATTTTTTTCCTCTTCCCTGCGGATACAAGTAGGGCTGTGCTCTGAAGGCCTGGGCTTGGTAGTGTGGGTACTCCGAGACCTCCATATTGACCTTTGATGATCTTGGCGACGCTAGGCAGTCGGTTCTTAACAGCGAACTCTCTGAGATAGTGACCCTCGTCCAACCAACGAGACGCTGCTACCACGATTTGGCCATCCGTGGCTGCCATCGTGGGTGTGTCACATCTGGAATGAAGAAAAAACGAATTATATAAAACTTTATACTAAATATTATAAAAAAAAAGTAATAACCTTTACTATACCAATTTTTAAGGACAATTTAAAGTTCTTGAAACTGAACTTTAAATTAATAATTTATAAGTAATTAATTTATTATTGATACAACCGGTCAAGTGCAAGTCTTGCGCACAATTTTTTTATGTATTTAACTAATTTTTATTTGATTGAATGAATTAAAAATAAATATTTAAAGGATATACCACATCATACGCATAGATAAATGAATTCATTTATTATATATGTATATATACATACATAGTCCTCTCCTTTTGGGGAAGGCCTACGTTCAGCAGTGATATATATATATATATATATATATATATATCACATTAAAAAAATATTTATTTATAATTCATACTCGTTGCATGGAACTTGAACTTTAAAATTAATAACTGCTATTTCTTTAATGGAGAACGAATTCAGACTTTATAGTCTAAACCATACATTTCAGAATTAATTAACAACGATAAAATAATTATTAACATCGAAACAGAGTTCGATATCCATAAAAATACAATTGTTTGCACTTTGCACATTAAAAAAATAATTTCAGTGTTAAACAATCTTTTGGTCTACGGGTCGCAAATAAATAGACCAAATTTGATTCAAACTGTAATTTATATATTTACGTGAATTACCCAATGAGCAATTTTAACTTAGGTAAAAATATTTCCAGTATTGAATATTGCTACTGATTTATGACTTCGTTGGTATAATGGTTCAATATTACACTGTCTCTTCTTCTAATGGTCATGAGATCGATCTTCATACAATATTTGTATTGTATTTCTTTTTGTAAATATATGTATATATTTGTTAATACAAATACACCAATTATCTAGATGTTTTCTATGTACAAAATGTATATATTAAAAACAGTTTAATCATATTAATTAAACTAAACCGTCTTTCAAAAAAAAAAAAACGTTCACGCTCATTTTTTTACTTTATCTGAGCAGTAAGCGCTTTATATTATTCTTAATTTCGTGTACAATATAGTATATGTCATATATGTGTAAGTATATTTGTTATTTATATATATTAATTCGTTTATATATGTAATTTTAGTATGTATGTATATCAATAATTACTAGTACCGCATTCACTCGAATGCGAATTCCGACACTTCCCTATGGTTAACTGGGAGAGAATGGTTTTAGCATTAAGTCCGCCATGTACACATATTTGTACTAATGAATAAATAAATAAATGTATTTATAAATTGTTTAGTGTCCCAAGTAGAAATTGTTAGTAGTTTTGGACTAGATGGCGTTGTGCAATGCAATATGATAAGTAACAAATATAACCAGATATTTGTTACTTATCATGTTGTGACTTTACATAATATCTAGACATACTTTAATTTATTTTTAAAGAATATATCAGATATCAAATTTTTTTAATAGTTTTTAGGTAAGAAATCTCTCCGTTCTCTATGATTGCGGGCCGTATATTGACAAGTACTGATTTTTTATTCGGCGAACATCAGACTGGAGGCAGATAAAAATTCCGTTAGATCATAAACCTATACTAATGCGGTGTTAAAACTAAAAAGACGGTGTGTGGTGATTACGGCTGGGATGTACTGGGTGCAAATATTGTATCAGGTTTTTTTAATGGATCGTAAGGGAATGGAAAACCCACCTGCGCTAACGGTATACGCTGGTAGGGCACCAGTTAGGCTTGATAGGTGAATATTAAAAGGTAGGTCAGTTAGCCCACCGTGATAAATACATCTGGAAATCTGCATGATGGTTTCCAGGAGGACCACGTGGAGGTCGACCTGATAGGGTGTATTGCTAGCAATGGGACTAGTAGTCTGCATTACTAACAATCCCTTTCCCCCATCAGATTCTTGTTAGCTATTTGTTTTTAACGATTTTTTTTTTCATTTCATTAATTTTCATTCATAGAATACTTCTATATTATACACTAGCTGTATCCCGCAGCTCCACCTGTGTGCATCAGTAATTTATCCTGTGTACTATATTAGTATATAATTTACACGTGTACCAAATTTTATTTAAATCCTTGGTAAAGAGACAGTAGTTTTTGCGTAAAAGAGTAACAAACATCCATTAACTTTCCATCATTACAGACTTGCGGATTTATTATATTAATAGGATTATTGGGACCGACTTGTGCGAAGCATTTCTCAGTGTGCCACCGGCGTAAGCTGCGCGCGCGCACCCGCCGGCGCGTAACGTAGTGTTATTCGGCGTTACATCAACGAACCATTGTTTGTGTACGTTGACCTTTACCTCGTTCGATACAGTTTGTTTTCCGCGGAAACGTATATTGCATAATATTTCAATGACTGCGGTAGAGCTAAGAGAGTATACATTTTTTTTTATACGACTTAGAATGGTAAACAAGCTGACGGCCCACCTGATGGAAAGTGGTAACCGTCGCCTATAGACACGAGCAGTACCATGGATATAACAGAGTATACTGTTTCGCCCATGATACCCCCCATGCGTTGCCATTCCTGAGGACTCAGGTGTTATTTCTCTGTACTCTGTAAATTCACGCCATATCCCATCCTTCAAACCGAAACACAGCCATGTAAACACAACTGATTCACGGTAGAAACACGAATGGGACAGAGGTACCCAAGCAATCGACTTTTGTACAAAGTCTGCCTCTGGTAAATAGCTATAATATATATTAATATAATAAAATTGTGACTAGACAATGTCGGCCCATAAAAAATATTTAGGGAAACATTTATATGAGGTATCGTAATAGGCATAGTTCATATATATGGTAAAAAAAGGTAATATTACCCCTTTCCACATCGCTCATACCAGTCTTTTTAAATGCATGGTAATAGAATGGTAACCCCATCTGCGCATACGCAACGCTACGCGCATCGGTATACGTTGGCGGGACACCAGTGAGGAATGATAGATGAGAATGAAAAGACAGACCAGTTAACCCATCGTGATGAGTACATCTAGAATTCGGCATGATGGTTTCCAGGGGGGACCACGTGGAGGTCGACCTGACAGGGTATATGCCTATACCTATGTTCACTTCGATCGAATGTTTAATTTCGACATTATATATTGGATAATCATATCAGTATATATATATCATGGATATCAGTTATTGATATATATATATATAACTCACCCCTAGTTCTAGAACAGTTAAATGAGAACAGTTGTAGTTAAAACTATATTGTTTAGAATGTTTGTCTGTCTATTTGTATGTCCGTTTCGTTATGACGAAAAAACTGTTATACCAAATTGTATGCGGTTATGACTCTTGTACTAAATCGATAGATTTAGATCTTTAGGAAACTAGATATTTCTAGTGTATTAACTTGACACGTGATCTACAATTGCTATATTTTATTGATCTTTTTATTTTTAAAATCCAAGCGCACAAAGTCGTGGTCATATCATTTTTTTTTTGTTTGCATAAGAATGTCTTCTATGTACAGATATAATTTAGTTATAATTTTTGTTTATATTAATAAAAAAAAAAAATGAATCAAACCACGTTATTCGGCATATCTGTGCCACTACTGGGTAATGGGCAAAAACAAAAAAAATATATACATTTGTACTGGAAATTCCGAAAACACCACAATAGCACCATTTAACGAATAGTACCACGATTAGAAATACAAAAACGCATAGTTAACTTGATAATCTGTGGTATACCTATGAAAGTCTTATGCTATCTGATCAAACAGACCTAACGCCGAAATACACAATGGTGCATTTCGCTAAATCATGACGAATAAAAATATATTTAGTCCGAATGTACATCACGACTTCATCGCACGATTAAACCTATTGTGGGAGATAATATTGCCGGTAACTGTACCCGATAGTTCGTAGACAAATAAGGAGCTCGATGTCGGGTCATAGAAATCGCGGGATTATACATTGAATGTATGTAACCAATCTAATTGTCCAAGGGTCGGTACAAGGCAAACGTTCTCGGGGTAGATCACCAGCGCGATGGACTGACCTCATCAAAACAGCCACAAAACAGTCTATTATGAAACACTCACTCGGCTGTGAGCAGAAGTAGACGAAGACGCATTGCGAGGACCTCAATCGAAAAAGGGCCTCATCGACGCTCCACTATAATCATAAAAACTGTCGTAGTTTTTATGATTATAGTGGAGCGTCGATGAGGCCCTTTTTCGATTGAGTTTCATTCTGTCAAGAGTGTACGACTGAAGAGTATCTACCCAGCAAAATTGTTATATAAACCAATTTGACATATAGTTTTTTCAAATTTTTATTTTTTCTTTTTCTACTCTGCTCATTGGCAATCTGTTCCTTATAGAATAATAATACAATATGCTGTTTGCATGTTAGGTTTGAATTTTCTTATTATATGTTGAAGCCATTCTGTTAATCAGCTCACAGTGTGTCTACAAATCTTTCTGCCAGTTCCTGAATGCTGTCTTTTTAATCGAATCTAATAGGACGATGAAAATATCTTACGTATTTACAGATAATGCTACCATTTTCCATTAGGTGAGTCGTCAGCTTGTTTGCCTTTTTTTGCTGCAGAAAAAAATGGTATATGGTTTATTCAACAATTAAACTTACAGATGCTGGCATTATGAATAGTTTCTGTAAAGTAGGCATGTTGCTTTGCGTAAATGAGATTTCGTGTTTCATCTTAGATCGTAGATAGGTAGTGCATTGTTTATGTGCGTGTAATCGCTCGTTTCATGGCCTCTCAGCCCAAGTAAAGCTGACGATCCGCTATCCAGCAGTTCTCATGAAGCGAACCGATTTATGGCAACAAGACCTGCCCGGGCCTGTCCTGACTTGGCTTGTCGTATTTATGTCATTTAATTATATGAAACTTACCAAACAATGAACGTTTGACAGCGCCATATTTAGATTTCGAACGATGCACCTAATTTAATTATTTATTGCAGTTATAATAATAATTAATTAACTAATTAAATT